CCCCACACACTTGTTTGGTTATTGAAGGGACTAGTAGAAACATCGGCCTCACCGGCAATCCCCTCCAAGCGATGTGCAATGCTCGTGCTCACAGTAGATACGCCCCCTGTTACTCAGACCAGAATCTCTTCAATTTGGGGTATGCATTACTTCACAATTTTAGGCTCATTCTGCCTGAGCTGGATCGCTTTTCTACGACTTCCGAGAGTAAGGAAATTTTTAATAAGCTCAAAGTGAGCGCAGGACGTCATAATACTACTTTCCTTCATTTTACTCGAAAATTCTAGGGAAACGAAAGCACCTATTCTGCTACCAGGGGTGCGGAAAAAAAGAAGGAAAAAACTTAGATAAATGAGTTTCCCTTCCCACTATCGGCTACCTGGTTCTAGGCTGACCAAGTCCGTCCCTGGATAAGTGCAATTAGAGCCCGGGCCCTGTACACCCGCTTGGGAATGAGAGTTTTACTAAGTCCCAGGCTCTTTCAGGAAAAGGGAAGATTTATGGGGAAGAGCTGTTCTTGGGCAACCGGAGGGTGTTGGGGCGGGAGGTGGGGATTAGGGATGGGGTGGGTGGGGTGGGGGTGATTCGAAGAGGGTCCTGGGGGATTTATCTCGAATAGGATCATACGATGACATCATGTCAGGCGGTTTTACTTTAGCAATAAGCCGCAATCTGTCCAGTCGACGCTTGACGAAGGCTGCACTGACTGGCGTGTCCTCGTCCTTAAGCCCCGCCTTAAACTTTTCATGAAGGGACGAGCTCTAAATGGAGAGTGACAGGAGGGCGTGGCAAATGTCAGAGTGCAAATTGTGTTCAAGAGATTTCTCAATATGCAATCTCAGGATTGATACGTTCACCTTCCAGGGTACAATTTCAGACGTCTCGAATTTTAAGAAATATACGTGTTTTGTGTTATAGCTTGAAAGTAGTCATTGTTTGGGGGAAACCTCGCTTTCTTTATTTCGCGGGTTAAACATATTTAGCTGTGAAGGGTATCAACGCCTGAAAACACTGTACAGTTTATGAAAAATGTTCAAATTAGGAAACTACATAGTGTAAAAATTTTTAAGCAATTATTAAGGAGCAAAGTCAGAGACATAATATCCGGCATCATACAGCCAACGTGTTCTTTCTCTCTCTTTTTTTGTGCTGCTACTATACATGCGTTGAAAAACTAAACATTAATACTTTAAAACAAAACAACCCCCCCCCCA